AGTATATCGTACAGCCACTCCAAAGGAACAGGAAGCAACCAGGGATGCCCAGCAATTCAGCCTAATCTTACCCAGTTTGTAGTGACATACAATGCGGATATGATTGGGTGTGTGTCGAGTCTTGGCCAATCGGGTATGGACGGCTGTTCGGGCGCATTTCTTGTCATGTATGCGGAGACGATTCATGTCGACTGATGGACCAGGGCATAGGTCCGAAATGGGCAACTGATTTTTCCATGAAAGGAAGGGGAGTCGTGCTTATTTGTGTTGAGGCTTGTGGGCTTGGAATTCGGAGTTTGGAGTTTGGAGTACTAGGCTTGTAGGTGATCGGCGCCGGATGAAGTGAATCGTATGATCCTGAGGTTCTAGAATGTATCTTCCCTTTGCATGTGGCCAGTTCTTGAATCAATTATATTGTATAGAAATCATGTTGTTGGACACCCTATTTATATGTGTTTTCTGCCGGTCTTCAATGTCGTATGGCAATTCACTCATGTCTGGTGCGTGGGTGCTGTTCCTTGACGTACGTCATATCATTGCATGCGCCAATCTTTGAATCCTTTAAAAGTATCTTCTTGGCTTCTAATCCTTGTTTGTGGAGTACATGGCTGGAGTAGACGCCTGTAGAACTGTGTCTTGAGTATCGCAGCAAGGTCAGTTTCTGCAAAGCTTAGTTCTCAAGTACAATACTGGAGCGCTGCTGGAGTCGATCGTGGTAATTTGCTCCATATGATGCCCGACTTGATTGCAGTGTGCATGGGGCACGATACAGGGAATTTACGCTGTTGATGCATAATGCACTGCTTGGTAGCGTGAATCGGGCTCCTCTTGTTTCTTGGAGGCATATCCATGTGGCCGTGAATAAGCCCATCATCATTACTTAAGGAATTCAACAAGGGGCTCGTCGCTTCAAATATCCTGACCGAAGTCGCTGTCGCAGGGGGGCTCGTCGATCAAGGCACGAGACATGCTTTATTTCGTCGCGGCCACAGTATATCAGGTCTAGGGGTTGCCGGATCATCCGCTTCAGTTCGCACACCGAGTCTGAACTATCTGGAGTGATTCATCCGATCGGAAACAATAATCGAGGTTCTGAGTTCGGTGTATGGAGTGTCCTTGGTAGCTGCCAGTGTCTTGTGTTCTGCTTTTGAAGTCGTTGGCAGGCTTATACATAATTGTGACGGAACGCAACATGTTGCAGATGCACAGCTGGCATTCTTGCCATGCGCTTGAGATCAAATCATACGCATTATACCCCAGCAATGAAAGAAGCATGCGGTCAGCGGGTCAGTGGGCCGATCGAACGGTTGTTGGGTTCAGGTTGATGACGGGGAAAGTTTCGGAACAGTTTGACCGCAAAGCTGCCGACCAATGAGTACACAAATCGCTCTCATCTATGCATTTGCAGCTGGAGTCAGTTTGAGGAGCCTGGGAAACATTCGCGGTTGCCAGCACTTGGGAATATCATGGATGTGGGCAACGAGCGCTGCCGTCGATGGATTCGGGATGTACCGACACTTGGGAGAAGACCATGGCAATGGCGCACGCATGGAAAGGTAATAAAGCCAGATAAGGGATGATTGGTCTTGGTGATCTGCGATGAGCACTAACAGGGGCAGTGTTGAGCATTCTTCTGCCCTGCCACGCGTTAGTCTTCCCCGCATTTCCTTCTTCGGATGCGGATCCTAGCCCGCGCGGGGTGTGCATATCAGCAACGCACTTGGCCCCTAGCATCAGTCCGACCTCTCCAACTTTTCCCTCTTCTTGCCGAAAAAACCGGGCACTCGCTATGAACTTCGTCGACGTGCAGCCAAAGTCATTTCTCGACTACGCGTGGACATCGCCATCTCCGGCAGCAGTAATTGCGACGAGTAAACCATCCAAGACAAGCCGGAAGCAGAACCGGTGTTGTGACCAATGCCGGAAAGGAAAGCGAGCCTGTGATGCCGCTATTCTAGAAGACACCTTACTGGAGACCAGCCGCACTGGTGCTAGCCCTACGGTATTTCACTATAGTGGTGAGCCACGTCCCCCTATAGGGTAAGTGTAGCGTCAGCTGACCATTCAGACGTCTATGGGCCGCTAGCTTCGTGTGGAAACTGTGAGAAGACAAAAAAGACCTGCACATTCGAGTGGTTGCGCTCTCAGCGTGTATCACAAGCTTCGCAACCACAGGCGACAAATGCGCCATCACCAAAACGACGTCGGACCAGAAGCGACTCGGGTAGTAAATCACAGAAAAGAAACGGATCCCATCCATCTACAACCACTACGGGGCAAACAGAACACCAAACTCAACACCACGAACAGCCCCTTCTCAACACCACACCTCCCGAATTGGGATTCACGTTCGGTGACTTTCCTTGTGGATCCTCCTCGTTTGCAATCGACCCTACACCAAATTTCATGGAGGAAAGATTCCTAAAAGGAGAGATGGATGATGCAGAACCTCTCCTCGATTATGTAGGCGCGTTCTCAGAGGAGGATTGCAACCTACTTGATTGTGACTCGGGCAAAGGTTCTTCACTAAGAACCCTATCAGACGTCAGCGACAAACCCGATGACAGCCCGGGAACAAACTACGAAGCCAACAGCACAACTGATGCCAAGCTAATCAGCACAAATGAATTACTTGTGCAAGTCGATAGAAAAAGACGCCGGCGCAGCTCTTCAGCGTCTGTCTCATACAGTGCGCCTCCCTACCCAGTCATATCATATGCCGACAACATTCTTTTGTTCGGTAACAATATGCACCTGTCCGAAAAGCTGCTGAAGATCTACCATGATAGCTTCGAAAACGCGCTCGCCTGTTGGGTTACAGAAAGGACGTGTCCATACAGCGCGAGAACCAACAGTCTTCTCGCCACAAATGCTAGGCCCGATTGGACAAGCATCTACCACCGAGTAATCCGCCTTGATAGACTGGCTTCAACGATCAGGGGGCGAAAACTCACACAAGCCGAAGACCAGGCAGCATCGAGAGCCTTGGACCTTACTGTCCTCTCTTTTGCATCGCAGTGGGCTCAATCTGGGCAAACAAGTCGGACAAGATACCCATTCCATAGTACCTCAGTCAATGGCAACTGCGGTGTATTCGATGGCCAAGGGGAAGAGCATGAAACAGTAGGCTTCGACCGTACCCTTCAAATGACCGCATGGCACGATGCCCGCAACGCATTACAGAAGGCTGGTGAGATAGAGTCGTTCCGAGTGGTACTTGCGCAGATCATATTCGCATTGACACAAAGGCCTAGTGAGACAAATGACACGTCTACCAAAGGCCTGGACACTGTCATGACGCATGAAATACTGAACCCGCAAAATAGCACCGAGCATATTCAGGGCGCCTCGAATACCTCAGTAGACCCAGATATCGACGAGTGCTCAGATTTGATGTCAAAGTTAGATCTCGCCATTGACGCCGACGGCCCCCCTGTGCATCTCGAATCAGGCCTCCGGCTCATACATTCATTAAGGTCACGCATGGCAGTATCAAGGCAACAACGGCACATCAAGCCTGGGCCAAAGCAATCTGGAGAAAAACGACGTTTGCCAGCCATGCGTCTTGAAGAAGCAGATCGTGCAACAGTCGACTTACTTTTCTGGCTTGGTGTCACATTCGATACTTTGTCAGCAGCAATGCATAAGCGGCCACTGGTAGTATCTGATGAAGATAGTGACGTTGTGCTAAACGAGAGTATGCAATCAAATGACTCGACCTATCCAGAAACGAAACCGAATCCCAAGGCTGTAGGCGATGGTCTTTGGGACGGATACTTGTTCGCTCGTCAGCAACATCCGGAACATACACCAACTAGATGGCCCTGTTCTTTCGATCAAGCGGCAACTGCTCTCTGCGACGCTGCTCCAGTCAAAGTGTTGCTTTTCCGGAGAGTGTGCCGTATCCAGACACTTTTGACTAGGAATGCTCGAGGTGTAGCGGTTGAAGAAGCTGTCCATGCCGCACTAGATGTATGCAACCATTGGAACGCGCTCTATGCACCTTTCATCAGAGACTGCATTCAGCACCATGACAGTCTCCCACCACGCGTCCAGTCATGGTATGTCTGTGTCGCCGGCCATTGGCACCTGGCAACCCTTCTTTTAGCAGACCTAATGGAGGTTGTGGACGAATCTGAACTAGGACTTGAGGAGACAACGGAACACCGCAACTTGACTGGCTTTATTGCTAGGTTCCGGGAGAACAATTGCCGGATCCTGTCGGACCTTGCGAGCTGCGCGTGCCCACGTAGTGACATGCCATTCCCATCCTCTCGCGAATTTCATTTTACCATTAACGAGGGCGCATTGCTGACAGATCCATGGACTGCAGTGTTGATCCGCGCCTTCGCAAAAGCAGGTGTCCTACTACTGGAGTCCGAAACACTCTTACCATCTGACATGGACCAAGAAGACGCTTTTAAACGAGCAGATGATTGTATCAAAGCTTTGTGGTTCTTGGGAAGAAAATCCGACATGGCTCTTGCGGCTGCAAGAATACTTGGAGATGCGTTGAAGCAGCGGCGCAAGAGTGCGCAAGACCGGATCAGTGACATGAGTACCTTTCTTGAAAGCCAGCTATGGCACGACCTTGACGGCTTGAATGAGGCTTTTGATGTAGAATGTGACCCATAGCTTGTCAAAATGTATTACTATCGCTGGCCTGCTCTTGTTGTTCGTGTGAGTCGTATGAGATGTATCAAGAATCACAAAGCCATTTACTTGCAGTAGAGCACGGTTCATGTCCACGTGACTTCGCGTTCAACCGCGTCAACGCGCCGGAGTATCGCGGCACCGCTTGGAACTCGCTGCTGCCCCTTACGTCCCTGAATTACCCCACCCATAGTGCCCATTGATGGTCATCAGTGGTTTGCTCGAGATTTGAGTAGTACACTGACATTACCTATTTGACAGCTGCGTGAGTGCTGTTTACTATCACGCTAGTAAGACACGTAAACGGGTCATTTGTCTAGAGCCTCACGCCTTACAACATATACATTATGGGCATCCCAGCGTATGCATTCTACTTAAGATTCAGCATCTGTGAGGCGCCTTGCTGATGAAGAAATAGCCTCTGGGATATTATCAAGCGCTACGAAGAAGTCATTCCGATTGCACAGCTCGCTGAAGATCACCACCGGCGTCATGGCAAGCCTCTCAGAATCGCTGTCGACGAGGCCGATTGGCGCTTCAACAATCTCACACCCCAGCAAGTCTATGCAATTCGTGATGGTGAGTAATATCCTAGATCATGCTGTATCGTACTTACAATAGCAGCGACCAATCAACATGCGTTTCAAGGCATTGAAAAGGCCATGTTTTACCGCCTCTGTCGCCTCCTAACGCTAAATATCCAACTCATTTTTGTCTTCGACGGTCCTGACCGGCCTTGGAAGCGAGGAAAGAGAGGACAAGGGCGTATCAACTATGAAGAGAGGCGGCTTCTACAGAAGCTGCTTAAATATCTCGGAGTTCCATATCATGAAGCCCCTGGGGAGGCAGAAGCAGAATGCGCTCGTATGCAGATACTGGATATAGTCGATGCTGTGTGGTCACAAGACTCTGACTGCTTGATGTTTGGTTGCACCCTTTGGTTCCACGATCATCGTGTTGCGAAGAATGAAGGCGCAACAGATCGCTCCAAGGAGAACACGAAGAAAAATGGCAAGTACGCCAGTGTGGTACGAGCCATTGACATGAAAGAAAGATACAACCTGGATCGGGAGGGTTTGGTACTTTTCGCCATGCTCGTTGGTGGGGACTACGATCAACAAGGTTTACCCCAGTGTGGACCTGGTATAGCTCTGCAAGTTGTGAAGGAAGGGCTTGGAAGAAGCCTCTGTGAGTGTCGAAACCAATTTGATTGTCAACTTTGGAGTAAAGAATTGGCACAATTCCTGAATACCTTCACTCGAGGACGAAGTATACCTGTACCTTCAATGTTTCCAGACTACGACATCCTGAAAAAGTACTACCGTCCGAAAGTCACCAGTGACCAGGAACTGCTCCTGGCATCAAGGCTCAACTTGGACTACATCCGCCCAATCCAAGAACACGAACTCCTCAAGTTGACAAGTGAACGCTTCAATATCTGGGGACGGCTTTATATGAATTGGATCGGTCCAGTCCTCCTTACTCGAGATCTCGCATCAAGGGACTCGTCTAAGCCAAAGGAGATGGTACATGAAATCAGAATCCCTAAGCAGCGATCCAAGAGGACGAAAGATCAGCCATCAATGCGAACCTTTGAGAGGAAGATAACGTTTTCGTCTTTTGGTGTCACAAGTCTATGCACGGATGACTTTGAAGGCTCACAATTTGGACATTGGAATGGTGACGACAAGGTACTGTTCGATCCGGAATATCGCGTAGAGTGCGAGATGCCTGAATATTGGCTTCGCAAAACTCTTCCGGCAGAGGTTTTCAACTCCTCGCTTCCAACGCCCAAGTCGTCTTCCAAACGGAAGCGGACAGTAGATGATGTCGAGGAAGCGGCGGATTCACCTAGCAACAAGCGAAAATCCAAAACTTGCAGAACTCTCAATCCAGATAGGAGTGTGTCTTACGTGTCTCAATCGAAAAGGCCAGATATGTCTTCGTCAGAATCAAAAACGCCATCCAAGATGCCCAAACCTGACTCTACATATCTGACAAGTACACGCGTACCGATCGAATTGATTGAGCTTTCTGACTCAGAAGATGAAGAAATCCTTCGAGTTCCTTCGATTCCTTTATCAAGACAGTCGCCTTCTATAAAGGCTGCTAAGCCTCCTCCTGACCTTGGTTCATCTGCGGCATCTAGTCTAGTGGTCCCTAGCATATCGCAAAATAATTGGGAAAATCGCACTCCATTCGATTTAGCAGATGAGGACGATGAAGACGATGAAGATCTTCAGCTCGCTTTACGTCTCAGCATGCAAGAGGCCTCCAGCTCTACAATGCATTCGTTGAACAAGGGCAAGTTTGACGATATCTTTGCAATGAGAGAAGAAGGTCGGAGTGTGGAGGGGTTAGCAGTGCCTGCTTGGTCGCTTGACCAGGCACTGATCTCCGATTTGCTTCCACCAGATATTCCAACGCCAAATCGACAAGCTAGAAGCATTGCATCTACAAGAAACAATCTTCCTCAAAGTGCCACTCATGCAAATGTTGCTAGAGAGGACTTAGCTGAGATGCATACCCAACCTCCGTCTAGACGCTCCGAGCTAGCAAGAAGTTTGGTTCCATCGCCCACAAAAGGGGATGATATCGTTGCTCGCCCCGAAGCGAGCTCCACCACCCCTTCCAGGCATTCTCTTAATGAAATTCGAGCTGCTCGACTTCGACATTTTGGCGCGCCTTCCATGACTAAGATCAGAGATGTAGGTAATGTCGCCTCATCGCCACCTAGGGCTGCACCAACAGACATTGAGTGCATTGATCTGACCGAAGATTAATAACGTCTCTGCAATGTCTGGAAAATTCACCATGAAGCGAACGATCCTCTCGAATAACGTCACTCACATTCTTTCAAAAGATATATTGACCTGGTTATGTTGTATCGGTATGCGTATCCAATACAATCGGCGCTGATTCACTGTAGAGACAGCTCACGAAAGCGGATAGCTCATTGATAAGGAGGCACAAAGAACTTCTTTCGAGGATCAAATAGGGTCCTCAACAATCGCCACGTTCAACCACAAAATATCAACCAAAATGGATTCCACGTATACTTATCAAGATGTGGTCGACAATGCTATCGCAGCCTTTAACCCCGTGAATGACTCAAGCGACGGACCAACTTGTGTTATTTGCGGACGAGAGTATGGAAGCGCTGGGCCAAGTTTCGAGTATGATAATATCGACCTCCTAAGCCAACTGCCCGGCCGTATCAGACGAAGATATATTGAAGACACCGTTGAAGCCATACAGACACCATGCAATCACACCTTCTGTCTCCGGTGCATAAGTTTCTGGTGCCAGGACAAAGCGATTTGCACATGTCCCTTGTGCCGTCATCCAATTATTCTTAGAAGGGATCCTACCGATCTCATGCGTTCAGACCAGGACCTATTTTGGGATGAGAATGATGCGTTGTGCCTGCCGCCGAGTTGTATTACCGCCTTGGGTTGGGAGACCCGCAGTATTTTCATGCTGCAAACCCGACATCTAGTCACAACAATGAAGCCTATGCCCTTCCGATGGATCAAAGAAGTTATGCTGCACGACCTACCTGTCATCATGGTCAGCGTCGCTCGTCGCTTCTACTATCACGCTTTGAGACCGACGGAGACAGTACCGTGCGATATTTCGTCTCTAGCACGACACCACCCTGGGGATATCATCAACGGATTACCCGTTATCCGCACTCTAGACGCAACGGTTCGTGACGATGCTCCGATTGCTTACCACGAAGACGCTTTTCGTTTGTATGAGGGCTTGCGCGACATCATTAATAATCCGCGGGGTATCGCTTTTGACAACGACGGATCGTGTCAGAGCTGGGGGAAGGCTGTGCTGGCAGTCATATCTACACTTATGGAAGAGAAGACGCTTGCCGGCACGAGCGGAGGCGTGTCACAGAAGAAATGGTGGATGTACGTATGGTGCGTTATCAAGGCTTTAATGGTGTGGCAGGCGTACGCTGCGCGTTTGCGTGTTGTGTGGCGCTTGCGCCACGAGCAGGGCGATTATGATTAGCACAGTTGATGAATAGATTGTTGGACGGATAGGGAGTGTTCCGATAGCGAATAATCTCATGGTCTTGGAACGGTTGTGTGCAGTTTGGAGTACTAGGAGTTTGTCTGATAAGAATATACATGATTCGTGAAATCATGATCGATTCCGTCCTGCTGCGATTTTTCTTCGCATGCATGATCTATATCGATTGAAGATTGATATTTCTAGCTTGTCTTGTGATCCAACAACTATACCAATCCTTGATGGCAGCGTACCCATTCCTCGTGATTGTACGGATATACATCCACTTTCTAATCAGTTCGTAGAGTTGGTGCTGCGCTTTGAGTGCTAGGTGCGCACAAATGACTATTCCGTCAGACCTTACACTCGGAACTGTCGCTGAAATGCGGTTGCCGGGCTAAGCAACCGAGAGAGAGCGTACACAACGTTCTTACATGCTCTTCCCAGCGCCTCTAGGTTTCCCTCAACACCGCGGCATTCTTCCTGTAACCAAACAGCAAATCTCGCTGATGTCCCTTCCTCTCAGCGCGGTAGCCCGTTCCCAGCACTACCACCCGCACTACTCACACCAGCACCACTCTGCGCCACCCTCACCCCCGACCTCGGCCCCGGCTGCCTCGCCAACGCCAACCTCACAGGCTCCTCCCTCGCCCTCGCACCCGCACCACCACCGCTCGCAACACCCGCCGCACCACCACTCCTAGCTTCCGCTGCCGGCCCCCTCCTCAGCAAATCTTCCAGCCCCAGATCCCGCCATGTCGGCTCCTTCTTGGCCTGTGTCGCGCGCTGGATCCCGAATGCGGCGTGCTGGTCTGGCACGACGTCGTCTTCGTCTTCCGGGTTTACGGGCTGTAGGTGTGGGGGGATGTAGATGTCTTCTGGGGAGAGTTCCGAGGAGGTTAGGTTTGTGAATTGTTCGAGGAGGTCGGCGTGATGCGACGCGTGCATGTGGAGGTATGTGGCTGTTGAGTCGCGTGTCTGCTCGAGAGTTAGAAGGTGTGGTGGAGATGAGAGGGGCAGTTGGAAATACCATCTTTGTAGAGCTTTTTTCTTTAAATATGAATGCGTCCGTCGTTACAGAGGCTGCTGGGTTTGTCGTTCTTGGGGTGTTGATATGATGTAAATGCGGGTTACGACTGCGGGAGGACTGAATGGCCTGCGCTAGCCGGATGCGGGTGTCTGCCGTGTGCTACTATCCTTTATATCGACCTCACCCCATTGTTTTAGTACTTCCTTTTCATCTTTCGACATTTATCGTTTTCCATTCTTTGTTTTGTTCTGCTTCGGTTTTTTGTGTGCCTATCGATCAGGTCGTGTTCGAACTACGGCAAGCATTCATTCATCAGGTTGAAATCCTGCAGCGGACTTTCCGCATCAGCGTCCGTTACATGTCCCCACCACCTGTGTGTCTGCAAGCCAAGCAACAAGATGGCAACTCAATCCATCTACAATGAGCTTTTCCGGTGAGAACTTGTACACGGTCAAGAGGAGGCCTTTGGCTATTCTCGCATCTGAGACAATGCGTCCAGCGCTCTGCACCTGGCTGACGGCACCTGTCAATGAGGCTCACTTACGGTGCTATGGCATGACTCGCCACCAGTTCTGGTTTCAACAATATTCCACCTCCCTAAAGCTGATAATAATGGTCGCCTTACATTCTAAGTGCCGAGGTCACCAAGTTCGTTGTTTGTTGCAGAATCTCCGCACTGCCGAGCGTACTACGTCATCTGAATCGGCGTACCGATCAGGGTCAGACGGTGCCCGCATATTTCAACTTACACCTTAAAATTGGATTCCGTTCATTAAATAATTTTTATCATTAAATCTCAATTCTTCTTGCTCGTTACAGTGATTACCTCGCTCCAGAATTCTACCGCCCTTTGAACCCCGCGACGACCTTTTCTCATTCCGCTACTATGACTGAAGGACGCTGCAACTGCGGAGGCATCAAGGTTTCCATTCCCGCCCTACCGGAGAAATCCATAATCTGCTACTGGTATGCAAGATCCTCCGTGTGCCACCCCATACTAATACCAGCAGTTCAAATTGTCGCCGCGCGGGCTCGAGTATGGGAAGTATCATATACTCTCCGGATAAATCCGAAGTCACTATCAATGACCCCGATGGCAATCTCAAGAGCTACAAAGACAGCGATACCAAGAGTGGGAACACGATCACTCGTCAGTTCTGCAGCAACTGTGGATGGCAAGTTACAAGAAATATCTTGAAGGATTGTGGCTGATACTAATCTAGCCCAATTGTTTCCCTAGTCGGCTCGAAATTGTTTTTGAAGGGCGGTTTGTTTGAGCAAATACCTATTCCGGGCCACAAAAGCTTTGCGGAAGAAGAGCCGAGCTGGATGAGCATTCTAGAGCCCGACGATAAAAAGATATAAAAGGCGTAGCTACCAGTTCCTGAAATAGTAGTCGAAGCACATACATAGCTGTGGCCTTTGATACATCTAGTCCATCTATTGGCTAGTACTGGCTCAACTGAAGACTATGAAGGGATGCTATTACACTGGCCAGCTAACCCCGCTTCTCGGCTGCATAGAGTACTACAAGAATATAACCCTTGCATACACAACGACTCCAGATCCAACTTGTGTAACTTGAACGAAATCTAGATGCGAACAAAAGAAGTTAGACCAGTCCTATTGACTATTCCTGCCTTGAACGGACCAATCAACGATAGCAACGTGATATAGGTACAAGACTTGAGATTATCTCGCATCGACCTCGCATTTGCAAAAAATACCTAATTTTACTTTAAATATTCTAAGTTCATGAAAGCTGCACTATAAACTAGCACTCAATGCGAAGAGTATCCACGATGCGGGAAGCAATATGTATATAACATGGCTGTTGTCCGAGCATTAAAACTCACCAAAAAGAACCATCAACATCCTTTATATCTTCTTGCGACAATCATGTAACTTGAGCACCTTCTCACCACCCTCCTGTTTACCACCACTACCGCCCTCGCACAAGCATGCGGCAAGGCTGGGTGGTGCGACAGCCCAACTTACTGCACCAAAACTTAGCATCTTTTAACCTTAAACATTGCGTCGAGTTACTTTGCTATCAGCACGTATAAAATACTTGGAAGCACCGTCAATTTGGTCATATGCTCCTGCTCCGTGCCTTGATCAATATCTGCAAAATGCTTCCTAAGTTACGTTACTGTGTATGTGTCTTACGTTTTCCGTGTCATATCTCTCCAGTCGTCAATATGATGAATGCCACATATATTTCTGCGGCACTCTGTAGCTATATATAAAAATAATATTTGCGTTAAATTACTGCATACTAATGATATGATATAGGCCACCCGTCATAAGTACATACATATATTGGCAAAATGTATAGTTGCATACCCTTGTACATTTCCGGACCTTCCTTAAAGTTAAAAGATCTTCTATTGCTATTTAAACCTCATTCTTTTGCCTATACATAACCTCTCCTGAGAAAGGTGGTTCTTAAATATTTAACATCTGCAGGTGAAGGATGCCGCAGGTTTGCTATATCCATGAGAGCATGTATATTAAACCTCGTTTTAGAGACGTGCCGATACACACTATCATCTTCAAGCGATTTTGGCTGCTCTTAATTTCTTCTTGTTACGTCAGCTTTTGTAGGTGCTCGCTCTGGCGCACTCCTTGCACAATGCAACCGTGCGAGGGATCCATCACCCAAACCCACTCTTACCCACATTGAATCACTAACACCAAACCAGACATCGCTCCCGCCTAATTATGTCTCTCGCCAACGGCACTTGCGAAAGTAAAGATGGCAACTAGTTAAATCCCCGGTCAGCCGTTCAACCGGTCATTGCTTGGCATTCCCCACATCACCCCCATTTCTTCCGGTACCCAATTGTACCGACGACGCCAAACCTCCCTGGACAAATGGGCAACTGCATCACCAGGAACCAAAACTAAATTGCGTTCCAAAACGCACAGGGCCTGCCAAGCAAGTCCAGACAGATCGGGTAAATTGATGGAGGGGTGCGACGAGGTCCTTTAAGCATCGTGAAACGTGGCTTTCCACCTACTTATACATGAACCCGACTTTTCCTCAAACAAAGTGCAGAGTCGGAGAATTTTTTACTCTTATTCACTCTCCTCACTCGCTTTGGAACTCCGTCGTGGCAAACCCCGAATGCGACAAGATAGGAAGAGCTAGTCACGGGAAACCATGTATCTAACTGCAGCGATGTCATCGCCGCGGAGCCACCGAAGGAGTATCCGCCTAGCCCTATCCGCTCTACTCTTAACATCGGTAACGGCATCGCTCGACGTACATGAAGGCCAGAATGACGAGGAAGAAATATACTACCTACCGCGAAGCGCCGCAATCCACGATGGATTTGTCAATAAACCACTTTCTACATGCCCCGTCAAGCCCGGTGGCGTGCAAATGTCGTATACGTTTCCCTGGACTCACACTCCCTCATGTGTGAATATCCTGCAACCAGAAGGAGCCCCAAAAACGTTTTGCGCGTACACGAATGTCAACTACAACAATGGCCGCGGTATTAGTTTTGTCACCAGCCCTGAGGTCGCAGCTAGCGTGAGCATGGAGACGTTTGGCATGGCGATTGGTGGCATGGAGGGGCAAATTGGAGAGGAGATGGGTATGTGGGAGGTGAAGGAAGCGGGGAGCAAAGGAAAGGGATTGTTTGCGAAAAAAAATATTGGTGCCATTTTCCCGGGTGAGAGCCTCGTTATGCAGACGCCAGTTCTGATTGTTGACAAGAGCGCGCTTGAGACCGAGAGCAGGGAGGAGGTAGAGCGTGTGCTGCTGACGGCGGTGGCGCAGTTGCCTTCAAAATCAAGAAAGATGGCTGTAGAGCTGAGTGGGAATGAAGATGGATCTTTCGAGGATATCGTCAAGACGAATGGTATTGGATTCACGTGGCCTTGGGTAGACGAGATGCCCAAGCTGCTAAGCGTGACTCCAGAGATTGCTGTGAGTTTTCATAAAGTTTTGCAAATGAGCCGGACTGATTTTTATTGAAGCGCATCAATCATGCATGCCGTCCCAACACACTTTGGCGCTTCAACGACTATACACTTACATTCGAGGTGTTTGCGCTCAAAGATATCAAGCCAGGCGAGGAAATCACACGAAGCTGTGAGTTCAAACCTTTCTTGTTTGTTAACTGGGAGACACACTAACATGCTTCAGACGGGTTTGAAAAGCGATCCCATGGGCGTCGCGTCCGCTCTCTCGAGGCCAACTTCGGATTCACCTGCGCCTGCCCTCTCTGCACCGCCTCAGATGAGGAAATCATGGCTTCAAATGATCGTCTCAGCGAAATCAAAGCCTTGAAATCAGTCTTACCCTCCGATCCAGAAGAAGCAGACAGGACCCTCGAAATACTACCTAGCCTGGTCGAGCAGTTGGAGAAAGAAGACCTGATAGCAGAGCTTCCCTCATACGAAGAAACCCTAGCATATACGTGGAGCATGTTTGGGGAAGAAGAAAAGGCAAAGTATTGGGCGGGAAAGGCGCAGAAGCACTGGGCGATTGTGGCGGGTAAGGAGAGTTGGGAGCAGAGGCGGTGTGGAGATATGGAGCAGGATGTAAAGGGCCATAAGACGTGGAGGACTTGGAAGGGTCTGCAAGAGGAAGATGAAGAAAGCGATGATGAGGAATGACCGGTTACCTAAAGTGAGCTTATGTTTAGGTTCCGACACCCAGCCAGTGATCGCTTGTCCAACATCACCTACTGCGATTATACCTACATACATTTCAGTCTCACTGTTTTTTCGCTCCACAATCCAACATTTTGATCATCGGCGTATATTTAAATGTGAAATAGAAACCGCTGTAAAAACCGCCAATCGATATGCCAACAAATAACACGAAAGTTACGATATGTTCACACAACCCCTAACCAGAACAGAGCATGTCCTCGCCAGAGATGTTTTGTTCGTCGAAAATACCATCAGCTGCACTCAAAGCATTGAAGCTGCTAACCCCATCGATGCCGTTGAACCAGCCAGCGTTATTTACACTATCAAGATCCAAAGGTTCATAACCGCCGATAGGATCGACAAAGCCCGCTAAACCGTTGCTTAGAGCATGTTCATCTAAGATCGAAGGCGCCACAACATCGTAAAATCCGTCGGCAGTGTTGAAGCCACTTCTGCCGGATCCCGACTCTGCATCAGCATCTCCGCTGCCTGCAGCATCCAGGCCAGCCTGCACACCTGCCATCATAGAATGACCAAAGGTAAAGTGATGTATGTTCTTCATATGGGAGTCGAGCTTGTCTTTTCTCGAAAACGGGCGTTTGCGACGAGGAAAGCCGCTGCTACGGTTGCAGCTCGGCACCGGGCACCAGAGAGGCGTTATGAGTTCGTGGACTGCGTTGTGATGACGGACGAGTTCCTGTAGCCTCCCAAAGGTCTTAGTGCACCCCGGCCAAGTGCAGTGGACTCTGTCGCGCGACACGACTTGCCCAGCATTTGTGGAAGTGGAAACGTCTTGATTCGAGAAGCGCAACGGGTTGCTTTGAGTCTCGATCCCTCCAAATGATGAATCAATGATGCGAGCGTGATTGCAGTGGTCTATTTCAGCAATGCACGTAGAAGTCGAGGCGCAGAGGACAGCTGTCGAAGTTGTCTCAACGTTGAAAGGGGATATCGAATCGCGAGATGTAGCCAAAGGGAAACCTGGGACGGCAGGTTGAGTAGGCCGGAAATTGTTCGCGGTGGCTTCGTTCCCGCATTTAGGTTCGTTGTCATGACTGAAGCTTTGGAAGTACCCAGTATCATCACCGAAGATACTGGTAGCAGCTGGGTAAGGTCTGCTATCAATAAAGTAGCCCTCATCATAATCCTGTAGCCCAGTAAAGTCTTGGTAGGTCGATGGCGTAGTCTGAGGGTAGGTGTTAGAAATATTGAACGTTTGGCGAGGCTTGCCATCGTTTTCCGACAGCCCAGTCATCATTGTAATATTGGAAAAAGGCAGGATCGTTTGAAAGACACTTGGAACTCTGCTAATTCCATTCTGGAGAGTGCATTGCAGGCTATTTATGTTAATGCTTCGAGGGCACTCACTCTCTTATTAGCGCTAAGTTTGGGGCCTTTTGGGAACCTTTAGAACTGTGAGGCTCTCTCGTATCAATATTCAGCCTGACAGGCTTCATCTCTCATAAAAATTTAATAATCGTTTCCCAAAGGGATCGGGTCTAATGAACTAGCGTAGTCGGATCCACGATTGTATGCCCGACAAGAATGGCCTATCAGGTACGCTTGCGACTATGCATTCGACGGGCTCGTGACACCCGTCAGTAAAAGTTCACAACAGTTCCATTGTCATCGTGTCGTGGATGAAAATCGCAGCGATTGGCTGTTTTAGCTTCCAGTCGCAGTGTTCATGCGCTAGTGAGGTGAGGTTTATTATCCCACTGCAAGCCTCTTAAACAAGTGGCTTGTAAAAAGTAAAACCTGACCACTCGACATGGTAAATAACGCACGCTCGGCAGCCTATCCACCCAGCATGGGTAAAGGGCGTACACTCGACAGCCCGTTCACTCGGCATGGGTAATCAGCGGCTATGAAGGAGTGTGCGTGTGCAGGAGCATGCAGTCGACGGTGGCTTGACTGGGGTAGCCAAGTGAACCACACTGTCGGGTATCTACGTAGACCTTAGCGGGCCGAACACAAAATCCTTGCGCCAACCGGACTTTGAGGCGCAAGGTAATGGGCGTGTACTTGGCAAAAGGTTGCCTCGCCCCGCGAACGGCCACTAGATATTCTTGCATGATATGCGTGTTGGCACTTGGCATGCGTATCCAGGGAAATGCTAACTGCGATGAGTGGCTGCAGAACCGTTCTGCTTCTGGGTGCCCCATGAACCCAAAGATTCGCAAAAGTTCCCATGTAACCGTGTCGAAAGGAAAGCATCATGGTATATAATACTCACCCTCGATCTTTTCAACTTCCGACAGCTCACCATTTCATTCACCCCAAGATCGTGGGACTGGCTGTGCGCAAAAGATTCCGTCCACCATTCAACTTTTCACTTATATTGATACTTCGATATGGACAAGCCTTCTTGTGCTCCTCTACCTCTAATCATGACATCGATCAACGATTTGCATGCTGATCCCGATGGATATCCGATGAATATCGACCCGCTGCAGTCGCCTCCGGTTGTACCAGTACAGGCTTCAGAGGTTGAACCTGAACTAAGCATTGACCCCCCAATCTTGAGGCGTATTGGACAATCAGAATGGAGCCAATATGAACATTTCATTAGATTGAATCACCACCACATGGAGCTGAAAGAATTGCGCAAACCCATACTCAAGGAGTCTTCTGACATGCCGTCAGATGTAATGTTTTAACAACAATTTTTATTAGCACTCAGCAATGGAAAAAGGCGCTTTCTGCTTGGGGTCTTCCCAAGTCAATCCCAAAGCCTGTTGCAAAATTTATTAGGAAGAAGGCACACCTCCGCGAGATTGAAGAAGGAAAGAAGACATCCTTTAGATACCGTAAACAAGCGGCACCAAATGACAAGATCAGACGATACGCGCAGGAGTATGCTAACGAGGCCTTGTCTTCAATCGCATGTATATGCATCCGCCACATGCGGCGTCAGCCAATGATATTTTCTTTGTTACCGTTTGAGAACAGCTTCGCCTTCCAATCTTACGTACAATACTTCTAAGTCTCCACATCTGACACATGCAATTCCGGTGAACCAGACCAATCGCAACGATATGTCAGAAAGGTCAGAGTTCTATAACGGCCAGGATGTCGATGGCTTCCTCGCAGTTTCCCAAAACGCTCAGACCCTCATCAAGCACAGTGACTATCCCGGTGCGAAACTCGCCTTCATAGAGGCTCTGGAAGGACTAGAAGCCCTACTAGGAGCTACAAACAAGGTCGCCATCGATGTTTTACTCTGCTTTGCTGACGCCGCTATCGAGAAAGAGGATTTCGATGGAGCTATGGAGCGACTTCGCAAGTCCTACACTCATCATCAAGAGTTGCTTGGTGACAACGACAAGAAGACTTTGCTGAGCTTTAGTCGACTGGGCTTCGTATACGACGCAGAGGAAAAGCATGGTCAAGCGCTGAAAACGTTCACTGCTGCAAGAGATGGTCAAGCGCAGCATCCGAGACGAGCCTAGAAGACATGTTCAATCATACCCTTGGATTGAACTCTCAAATCGCCGCCATATACCGAAAATTAGGTGACTTCGAATCTTCTGAAGAAAAGCTGTGCGATCTGATCTGGCAAGCCGAGGGGCTAGGTGACACTTATCGAGATCAGGTCGCCTACTTCAAACACGAACTCGCCCATCTCTACAGCGACGAAAAATGGCGACTAGCGAAGGTTCCGTTAGGCGGTGCAGTTCCTCCAAGATATCGTGTAGAGAAGATTCTTCTTGAGGCTATTCATGACTTCGCTGTCATCTTTAACGAAGGACCTCATTATCTGTGCTCATTAGAACAGTTGCGAAGGTACTATGAGATGACAGGTGAGGTCCACAAGCTGAGCGCCCTGATCACGGAGAAAATCGAACCTATTCTCAGCGCAATTCGACCGACCGACAGATCACGCATTGAAAAGTACCTCGAGCTGATGCAAGGAGCCATATCTTCGTTTTGGCGACTTCGGGAGTACGAAAAAGCTGATTTGTGGTTGTATTGGCGTCAACAACAGATCGAGAACTTAGATACGAAGGGAGACTATTCCCTCGAGGCACTATCCAACCTCATTATGCATGCTAAGACTTATCTCGATCGAAGCATGCCCCATTTTGCTGAACCGCTGCTTGAGAAAACTCAGCAGATAGCGAGCCAAATCCTGCCGTCTGACCATTCTATCCACAAGACCATAGCTGAAACGATCAATAACAAAGCTTGGGCGTATGGAACATGTAATTGCTGTCTAGTCAACTCTCCAGGTCCCATACTTAGGGCCCTTTCAATTTCGTTTTCGTTTTCTGGCTGCTAAACCTCATCCAGTGATCATCCAAACAATATCTAAAACAAGTAAATTTCAATGTTTAGTAATGCAATGCTTGGACCATAACGTTTCTTAGAATAGAGGTTGTGTAATAAAATAGAATGAAAATGAAGAAGCGGTTCGAAGCAGAAAAGAGTAGAATTTATAAATACTTTTAGGTTTCAAGGCATAAGAAAATCTCTAATCATCAAAAAAGATGCCTTCCCCCTGGACACTATCCAATTTCCAAACATGCACTTCACTCTCCGACCTCCCCCATTCTTCTCTAGTTTCCGATCCATTCAAGATCGTCTCTACACTGCTATGGACACTTTCTAGCACCGTATCTTCAGGCAACTGCGCAAACTCATGGATAGCCAACCAAGTCGACGGCTCAGGATGCGGCTCATCGGTAGTAGGTAGTCCCTTCAAAGCGCGAGACTGAGCATTCGTCCTTGCATACAACAACTTGAAGTGCAGCGTACGGATGTAACGTGGCGTTTTCGATATCACAGCCGTTTGCTTCCACCCAAAACCGTACATTAGCCATCTTTCAATAATTTGTGAAAAAGGACATAACTTCTTACCTTCTCAAAGAACTCCATAACCTTTTCCTCCCCAGGCTCCTCCTTCGGTCTGATCCCAGCCGTAACAATAAACTTCGCTCGCCCTACAACCCTCAGCACACACCTCCATCACTTCTCACATCAAACTCACCATCTCCCTTCCTCCGCGTCGCCCCCAAAAACCCCAAATAACTAATTTCGAAATCCGCAAGATCATACACAATCCCACTGCCTGGCAACTGCTCACTCTTTACACTAATCCCCCTAAACTCTTCGCTTTGCGTGAAAGCTAAGTCAGGCATGGGATAGCATGCCAAAAACGGGGTTTGGTTCCGCGAGTCACCCACAGGAGATGTTTTGGAGACGTCGATGTAGCGGAAGGCACTGGTGATGTCGCGGGTGGAGAGGACGTCTGGGATGTGCTCGGTGTCGTACCAGGCGAGGTAGGTGGATTCGGAGAGGGTGGGGTGGGAGGTGGGCGAGATGCGGGAACGGACGAAGAGGACACCGGGGCCGGAGATGGGGTTGCGCATTTTGGAACGGTGGTGGGAGGTGGGTTGACGAGGGAAGAGTTGAATGTAAGTAAGAGAGGCACTAGGAGTGTCATATATGTATATTATGCTGAACAGCAGAAATCAAAGACTATGATCATAGTTGATGCCCGGATATATATTCCCGACACACGGATAGGTACTACCCCGCTTCTTGTGCTACCAGAGACAGATTCTGCTATCATGACTTTAAGGACAAAGGTTGAGGCTATAAAGGGACGTCAGAGGAGAGGAGATGCGAGCACATCTTCATCGCGGGCGAAACATTCCTGATTGAGGCCTGTTCTTATGATCACTAGATGATCTAAATCAATGTTCTGACTACCGATATATGTAGGGTATTCAACATCTCGACCTTCCTTTTACCAAACTCTTTCAATGGGTATGGTGGAAGTACTACACAACCCGTGTGCTGGACAAGACGAGCAGGACAATGATGCGTGTGACCCTGGCCCACTCAAGTGGCTTAGTCTCCTGACGCATTGAAAGGGCTCAAAGCTTCGACTTTTCCACCACCAACTTCTCGAGACCCGTCTTGAGTGCCTCAGTCATACCATCTTTTCTCGGCCGCCTGCTCTCGCGATCAACAAAAACATGGATAAACTCTCCAACCGCCTTGACTTCTTCCTGGCCTTGTTCAAAGACACCAATCTCATATGTGACAGAGCTTTTTCCTAGTTTGTTCACACGCAAGGCCAGGTCAACGACTGCGGGAAACTCGACCGGAGCAAAGTAGTTGCAATGAGAATGAACGACAAGGCCGATGTCGAGGGACGTTGGTGGGTGCAGTGCGCAGTGCTTAATCAGGTATGTGTTGACAACAGAATCGAAACTTGTATCATGTCAGTTGAAAGGGAATATATAAGCACAGAAGACTTGTGAGAAGACGTGCAGGTAGTAGTAGACACTATTGTTCATATGGTGATACATGTCATTGTCGCTCCTTGATGCGGTCAGCTTGTATTGGACAGGGGTACAGCAAAGCAACGGACCATCGCGTCCTGTACTCGAGCGCGAAGTTGTAGTCGCCGCGACGACGCGACTTGAGTACCTCGAGAGCCATGAATAATATCAGTAGTGTGGTGAAGCAGTTCGCGGTCGCGCCCTGTGGTTAAGACTCGGCCATAGCTGCCATTGAGCCTCGGCTCGTTGAAGCTGGTTCCGCCTGATGGCGTCGGATGCATCCGACAACAATCCGATTGGTGTCAGCCATCACTCGATTTCTATCCCGCCTAAATAGCTCCCATCCGGTTGTATCGGAAGTGGCTGATAGCATTGAACAGTGTCAATTGCTGCGCCACCCGACGCGGTCGGAAGTGGTGTGTGATTGGCCAGACACGATGCTTACCAGCCACATCGCGGTGACCCCCACGTCGTCCCAAGTCGTTTTTTTCGGTACAGACCTTCAACCCCTCCAAGCCCCGCGATTCTGGCGCCGTCTCCACGCATCCTCGCATTCCTTGCCTCCAAGGGCCGCCTGCCCGTCGCCCACACTCGCCCAGGCTCACCCTCCATGGCACTCGTGCCTTCTCCCCCGCGCGACAAATATCCGCCTCTGCCCGACGACAAGTTTCCGTGGAAAGAGCCGCCGCCCGTGGCCATTACGCCCTGCGATCCCTGGCCGCCGCCATACTACCTCGAGGATGGCCTGCGCAAGGTGACGCCCTACCACTACACATACAACACCTACTGCAAACAGCGATGGCGGGGCCGCGAAATCCTCGAGATCTTTGCGAGCGAGTTTCGCGACAGACCCGCCGAGTACTATGAACAGGCCATCATCGACGGTCGCGTCGTTGTCAACGGCAAGCCCGTACCCAGCACCAAGACAATTATCAACAACGGCGATATCATCTCGCACACGCTGCACCGCCATGAGCCGCCCTGCACTGCCCAGCCCATCGGCATCGTTCACGAGGACAATGATATGATTGTCATCAACAAGCCTGCGGGCATGCCAGTCCACCCCGCCGGTCGCTACAACTTCAATTCGATCATCGAGATCATGCGCGCCGATCGAGGATACGGTTGGAATCCCCTACCCTGCAACAGACTCGACCGCCTCACAAGTGGTATCATGTTCATTGGAAAACACAAGCAGGCTGCAGAGGACCTGAGTGCGCAGATACGAGGAAGGACTGTCAAAAAGGAATACATCACACGCGTTGTTGGCGAGTTTCCAGAGGGCGAAATTCTATGTGAAAAGCCCATACTCCAGATCAGCCCCAAGCTGGGTCTCAATCGCGTTCGTGCCAATGGCAAGGAGGCAAAGACAGTCTTCAAGCGACTTGCATATTACCCACCGAAAAACGATGGAAATGGCACTCAAGAGCAGGAAGGCGAGAAAGGTCCTGATGGTCAGCCGTGGAAGAAGCTCCGGGGCTACTCCATCGTACGCTGCTTCCCTGTGACGGGCCGGACCCACCAACTGCGCGTTCACCTCCAATTTCTCGGTCATCCTATCTCCAATGACCCCATATATGCCAATCAGCGCGTGTTTGGACCGTCTCTTGGCCGTGGGCAATCTGAAGACGACGATGACGAAGACATCATGTCGCGTCTCTCGCGCATGGGCAAGGAAGAAGTGGCCGATGCAGTCGCCTACCACGATGAAATGGTCGATGCGTACAACAAGCGTAAGGCCGAACGCATGACGGGCGAAAAGTGCAAAGTCTGTGATACAGATCTGTATAGCGACCCAGGCGTGCATGAACTCGGCATCTATCTCCACGCCCGGAGATATCGATGCGAGGAAGGAAAGTGGGACTACCAGACTGGGTTGCCTGATTGGGCACTTCCGCCACCTGGCTATGAAGGCCCTACTGAGGGTACTGAAGAGAGTGATCCATTAGCTGTTGACTTGAAGAAGCTGGGACTGGAGGATGAAGAACCTAAAGAAAAAGTTGAGACTTCATAGAAAAATTATTAGATTAAGATACCCCACAATTCACTTATTCGCTAACTATTCTTCTTCACTGTCCTCATCTTTATATCCGTCTTGCTCTACTTCGCTGTCTTCTGCATCATCAGCCATGCTCGTCTCAGGAGTACCTTCTCGTTCTCTCAGCTGTGCTTTCAATCCATCGAGAATAACCGTCATCCTCGCCTTGAGATCAGCATTCCAAACCAGACTAATCTGACCCTCCATCTCCTGAATCTTTTTCCTCAACTCTTCCGCAACCGCATCTTCCTCTTCATCCTCCTCCTCCCCATCCCCAGTCCCAGGCCCGTCTTCCACTTCAACTCCCCCACCAAACGCACCCGCGAAATCCACAGCCATCTTCCGATTTGCAATCGCAAAAACCACTTCTTCAATTCCAGACCACGTCTCCACGCTCCCACCCCCGTCTCTATTCTTCTTCTTACCCCCCGCCACGCCCCCATCCAACACCCTCCGAAACGCCCCCGCAACATCCCTCACAGGATTGCCATACGCCCCGCATCCCCACGCCCCCAGCACTAACCTACTCACCCCCTTCAGCTCCGCAATCCTCAATACCCCTCTAATCTTCCTCTCTACAACCTCTCGATCCTTCCTCCCCAGCCTCTTCTCCTCATCTTCCTCCCCCTCTAACTCAGGAAAACGCAGCATACCTGCCGAGATAACACCAACGTACCAGCGCTCCGTGGGCGCTAACTCGCCGTGGCTATCACCCAGCGGACGGGGGTTCCGGAATACGAGGACATCGGGGGTGTAGATGCCGCCATATTCGGGGAGTCGGTAGTATTGCTCTTTGAGGGAGGGGAGTAGCGTGGTGCGTGCGCAGAGGAATTCTTCTTGCGAGGTTGCGCCTAGGTAGACGCCGCCGCCGGGACGGAGGGGGGATGCCATGTTTAGGATGCATGTGTTTGAGGTTTTTTTGGTAGAAGGTTTAGAGGTAGGATGAGAAAGGAGTTGTGCGGCTGTTAGGGTGTCGGTTGTTATTATGCGGATGGTGCGGGATTTTGGAGGGGGAGACGGGGGAATGGGTTGGAGAGTGAGATTTGAGAGGCCTTCGTCGAGGGAATCATTGCGTTTGCGGTTTTTGCCTTTTGATGAGGGTTTGGTTCCGTCTCTTTTTCCTTCGCCTGCGGCTGTGACGGTGTCTTCATCGAGGATCTCACTGCCTTTGGCTTTTCGGCGCCCTTGGCCTTTTCGCTTTACGTATACTGCGCTTTCATCGCCTTCTGGACGGGCACTGCTGGGCCCTTGTCGTCCTGATGCTCCACTGGGGCCCGGATCAGCGATCAACTCGCTGCTATCTACACCCCGCCTTGCTCTTGCATTCGATGCCAGAAGCGCAGGCACCACTTTGTTGATGATGTTGCGCGCCTGTTTGGCTCGGATATCTTTGCGAATTGCAGGTGGCGCTAGACCCTGGGATTTCTCTGTGCGGCCCATTTTGACACACTGTTTGTGATTTTACTTGCCCACCTAGCTTCTAGGAATTAGGATCAGGGTTAGATGGAATGGTCTGGAAAACGGAGGGAAAGTGGTTGCGAGATGTTGGTTAGGATTGTGGCAAGTGTGATTTGGAGAGTACTATGTTGGTTGGGTGCTGAAATGCGGCTATGACGTTTACAGTAGGTAGGGTGGAGCTTGCTCGAACCTCACTTAGTGAACCGTCTTGCTTTTTGCCAATGGTGTGTCAATGGTGTGTAACAGCCATTGTGGTCTTGTAACTGGTGACGTTGCATCTGTTTTCGACACTTGATGAAAACTGCCCAAAGTAGGAAATGACTTGGTGGGTGCTTGGTCTAGGCTAGAAGGTTGAACGGGTGCCTCGTTTCGTAGCTAGTGGCTCGCTTGCCTCAACAGTCATTACCGCCCTTGGCCACCGTTCTTTTGACATTATTTCGTTTCGATCATTATGTTTCTAGGCTCTTCCAACTACCCTTTACATTCGATGCTAAGTTAAAATTGCCTAATAGGGAACCCATCGAGCGAAAGCCGGGTCTAGGCCAGACCACCCTAACCTCAACCACCACTTTCCAAGAAAATGGCCCACTTGCTGATTCTGGATGTAAATTTTTGAATAATATTTTTTCTAAATGGTAGCTCTCATATCTCCAGTATTCCTCGTCACTTTTAGCTCAGTCCAGACTTACTCCGGCTATGTGACATAAGTCTTTCCATGTACACAGACGAACAATTTTATGGTAGATCTGAGGTGCTGTGGAATTTCTAATGTAATCGAAATTTTTCAATGAAGTTTCGTAATTTGGCTTGTTGAAGGTTGTAGTATCATGCCTAAATTTTGCTTAACCAAATTGTGAGTGATCAACAGACATGTCAATGTTGTATGGCTGTAATGTTGAGTTTTATTGCATACATACAGGTCCCTTCAAATACACCACAATACCGTGACTGGCTACATGTCTCTGGAAGTTTGTAGTAATGATGGACAATCGACCAAAGCACACATCTTCGCCAGTCCCCTAACACCCTGCCTACACATAGATCTGCTTCATATATAATGTTCATTCCTTTCCCAAGTAGAGAAGCTTCGACACTCACCTCGGGCATACAACAACGTAGATTTTGTACTAACTGAGCAACATGTCTCCCCTCCAACAGCTCCTCGTAATTGGTGCTGCAATCTCGACTGTTCTCGCAGCACCCGCTATTCCCAATGCTGAGCGTGCATGCGAGCCCCTGCCCCATGGCCGCGGCCTCATCCCCCGGCCTGATACCGCAGAGGCGTTCCAGTCCTTTCACCCCTTCTCGTTGGCAGCCACTTCCGCAGTTACGCCCGTTGGCTATATTCAGGCGTACTCCAACCTGGTCACCACCTTCAATGAGCCCTCTCAGTTCATTCGCTACGCTGACTTGGACTCGTATGATGTCAACAAGTGTAAGTGAACATGTTGTTTCTAAATTTCCATCACACTGAACATCTTTAGGCGCTGCCGAATGTGGCAAAGATGAAAAATGCAACATATTCGGCATCTTCTTCGAGCGTACGCCAATGTACAAGCCTGGCCCAAAATGCCCCAACCCCTCCTCCAGCACTATGATCAAGTGCACCCTGTGGTCTGGCACCATCTCGCCCAAGGCCCACATCAACAATGGACAGACCCGGGAGAAGTTCCGTATCGTCATGGCTGGCTCTAACGCGTATGTAAAAGATATTACTTTTAGCAGCCGAAAAGATGGTTCCTCAAACATCCTCAAGAACTGGATTGTAGAAAAGTACCAAAATGGCGCTGCTATCCAGGTACCTCTTGACTGCAACGGCGTAGATACCTACATGGGTATAGCGGCCTGGCGCGATGGTAAATTTGATGCTCAGAGGTGCCTTGACGCTTGCAAGGTTGCTGGTGATACTGATATCCAAAGCCGCAAGTGTCGCTTCGTCAATACCTACGTACAGCGCCGGAATGGCGTCCAAGTTGCTCAGCATTGCGCCATGTTCTCAGAATACTGGCCCGCTCCGTAAGTATTTGCCGAATGACCCTTTAAACATCCATTGAAGTCAGGGATCTGACGTTTTTGCAGCTTTGCTACAAACCTGGGTCAACGCCGCGGTGATGTTGAGATCTCCGAGACAGACTCTTATGGGTATGTATGATCACTGATATCCTGCATCCTTTCTATAATTGCAGATGGAGACTAACTCTTTGACCAAGTCTTCGCCGAGTTGAGGTTAAGGGTACTGCTTGCTACAAATCCCAGGATCTCCTAGTTCCGGTCCCTCTACGGCCCAGCGCTATCCCTGACGTACCAGTAGTATCCAATCCTGCTCCCATATCCGCTGGCCGTTCTTCCTCGAAGCCTGCTGGTCTTCCTGTCATCGCTTCCTCCTTAGAGTCTACCATTCCTACTCCCGTTATCTCATCTCCCACAACACCTAAGGCCCAGGTTTCGGCCACTGGACTTGAAGATCCAGCTGTCGTCAGTTCCCTGTTTCGAGTCAGACTTTCCTTGCTATTTTCACCTCCATCTACTTCTCCAGCTGTCCTAGCCAAGGCTTCTACCCCCAATATTGCCGCCCCAACTTCGGCGGCCTCCAGTACAACTGCCAAGGTCTCGGGTACTCCTTCAGTGGCCCCAAGCACTCCATTGACTGCCCCGGCTGCTCCTTCAAAGGCTCAATTCACCTCTTCGGGAACCCTAGCTGCCCTTCCTAAGGTCTTGGGAACTCCCTCTACAGCCTTGGGCACTTCTTCAATACTCCCAGCTACTTCTCTAGTAGCCCCGAGTACTGCTTCAGTAGGTCCAGCTACCGCATCTGTGGTCCCAAGTGCTCCTTCAGTAGTTCCAGGCACCTCTTCCGCAGTCTTGGGTAACTCTTCAGTGGCCCTGGCTACCTCTCCAGTGGTACCAGCTACCCCCTCCGCGGCCCTAAGTACCTCTTCACTGCTTCTAGTTAGCTCTTCAGCGGTCTCAACTATTTCCTCCGCGGCTTTGAGTACTCCTTCGGTAGCCCCTTCATCGGTGCCAGCTACCCCTTCAAGTCTGCCAGCCACCCCATCGGTTCTACCAGTTGCTCCCTCAGTGGCATCAAGTTCTCTAGTAGTCCCAGAAACCTCCTCCACAGCCTCTAGCGCTTCTTCACAGCTTCCAGCCAGTCCTTCAGTGACTCCAGGCACTGCCTCAGTGCTCCTAGCCACTCCCACCAGTGCCCAAAGCACTCCTGCGGCGGCCCTAGCTATCTCTTCAGCAGCCCCTTCAGTAGTCCCAGCTATCCCCTCATCCCCCCTGAATACTTCCTCCACGGCCTTAATCACTCCTTCAAAACTTCTAGCTACTTCCTCCGTAGCCCAGAGCATTCCTTCAGTGCTCTCAGCCACTCCTTCAGTAGCCCCCTCATCTTCCCCTCTATCTTCAGCAACCCCCACCACCCCTTCTCTGATCCCAACTCCACTCACCTCACCGCTCGACCCCTCGAACTCCCTACTCGTCTTTCCAACAAAACTCCCGCCGATCGAGCCACGCAGCAGAGACCTCACAGACCCTGCCAAAACCCTCTCCGCTACTATCTCCGTGCACTTCGCCGCCCGGGCTACACCCTCCGCCGCCCCCTTCGATCCTATCCTCTACGCTAGCCTAGTTAGTCCGTCTCCCTCTTCCCTGTCCCCTTCATCATCATCGCATCTCGCTTCTCCTTCACCCCCGCGTTCCTCTTCTCTTTCATCCCCTGCACTCGTTCTTGTTGTCGCCCCCGCAGTCGAGCCCGTACCAGTCATTCGCCGTGATAGGCCCCCGCATAACTACAAGAATGGCCAGATATGCTGGCCCAGCGGCGACCATTGCTGGTGGATGATGGATCCAAACAACATAAGTGCTGACCCTGAGTTGACGCAGGAAGAATGGGATCCCGAGGTTGATAAGCATAGCTGGAGGAACTATGGGTAGGTCGTGGTAGTTTTTCGAGAAGGAGAAATATGGAGATGTAATGTGATGTGGTGTTGGTAAGGGTTAGATGGGCATGGGCTGGCTGTGGTGGGTTGAGTTGCCCATAGTGGCTGTTATAGGCCGTGTATCCCATTTTTCCTATGTTAGATCGTTTAATGAGATGTCTTTTATATTAGTGGGCTCAGAACACACGATGAGAGAATAAAAGGTGCGAATTGACGAGGTTGCCCAGTGTGTCACACTACAGGTGCTTGGGGCAATCCATCTGTCCGCCGATAATCTGATTAGCAAGATGCGTTTTTCACCGAAAATACTATATTCCACAAAGACTGCCGCAAGTTTCACTCCATACATCATCACAACGGTATAGTATTCGTAATTTTGCGTCTTTGTACTGTTTTAATATTGTTTGATACTATGTCGATTGGTGATGAAAATCGCAAATCCCGAGGTCAATCACAGCAACGCAACGCAACGCACGTCATCCTTCCCAAAAGCTTTTCCCTTGAGTAGAGTCAGTTTTGATACATGGTGTCACTAATTTCCAACTCTAATAACGGTCTGACAATGTCTGGACCCAAGTGTGTCGTATGTTGGCAAGTACGTAGTAGTCCATCGATTCGAGCCTAGGCTACATATAACAAAACTGTAGCTTGATCAGCGGTCGCGCTCCTTAAGCTCCTCTGCGACAGCTTTAAGTCCGTTCTGATGTTCCTTTGAGACATGTTCCCAGTACTGTGCCCAGACACGTGATTGTGGGTCGTCCTGTACTGTGCCAGCTTCGGTGCCCATTCGCTTGTTGATTTGGAGTGAAATCTTGAGCACACCCTTGGCACCTTCGTTGATCTTTTCAATCTCTTGCTTCACAGCATTTTCCTTTGGCTTGACAGCAAGCACAGTCCGGAAGTTTTCGGCAAGCGATTCAAGGCGCGAATGCACTTGGTCGGGAGCAATCACCATAAGCTTTGTAAGCATGAGATTGCAGAGGATACGGATGTCATGTTCGTCAGTGACACCAGCAACGATACGATCGAAGAAGTCAGAAATCTCAATAGGAGACAGTCGTGCAAAAGCCTTCTCGAGAAGAGCGTATAATGTTTCATATGCACTCTTGCGGATTTCGAGACCGTCGTCAACCTTGTGCTTGAATGGACCCATTTGGACCTCACGGATGAGCTCAGGTTTTACAACCGTCTCCTTCATAGCGAGAGGTAGTAGCTGGTCAAGGGCAGGCAAGATAATGTCCGGCTTGTTGTGCATCGCAGAGTTGAAGGTCATGAGTGCTAAGCGGCGGTTTTCCAGATCAGGCTCATTGAGCATTTGAACAAGCATAGGCACGACAATTGGCTTGAGGT